TTTCTGATCGAACGAGGTACTGAAGTCAAAAATCGAAGCACTTTTGCTACCCCAAAACGTGATGACAGACACAAAAAAAAWCAAAAAAACACACATCATGGTAAAATCAATACATTCATCGCTCCGCTCAGAATCTAAAAATACTACTTTCGGTAATTTTTTCTTATCTAATTTCTTGTTTTCGCGACAGCAAAAAAAAGAAATATAGTAAACGTTGATAATTGACAAGCTAATGGAAACTGCATGTATAATTTTCATCGAAAAAAATGCAAATATATGTAAAAAAAAAAGTGCAAAAATACTAAAAAATGACTAAAGCATAAAATTTCCTAAAAATGAAAGAAATCCAAAACAAACATTTTACCATTATATTCTATACTTCCTGAATCACTTTTCTATAAAGACGATCATTGAATGTAGGAAAAAAGATGCAAATGCATCAAGTTTGTTGTAATTAATGTCTAAATTGTTGGATGTTGGTGATTAACTTAAATCAATATTAAACCAATTTTTTATATTAGTCTATGTGTGTGTGTACTCCGCATAAATTAATGAGCTGAAGTTGGTGAGCTAGCTTTGATAATATTATGTAAATATTATGAGTGGAATACAATAATGGGTAGTGTACATCTTATCCATATGAACAGACTGAACAGTATATTGTATACATTATGCACCTTGAATGTGTATAATTATTTACATTAACCAGTGTCTTGTGCATGAAGTATGAAGTATGGGAAAAACTAAATCATATTAATCCCAAAAAAAATTATTTAGATATTATTAAATTATTATTTTATGTACAAAAATGTCAACGAAATACTATATTGTTCTGTTGAAAAAGATGGTTAAATAAAAAATATTGTATGTATCTATGTGAAAAAAAAATTTATCAAGAAAATATTTTTAAATATGTCTTATAACTATATTTAAAAGTTGTTTTAACGTGTTATATTTGTAAACATAATTTGTTAACAAAATATTATACACTTCTTTATTAGAAGAAAAAACTTTATGGTCATAGTTCAATACGATCTCTTTACAATATTTCTTCTAACTCTTGTTCTGTTATTAATTTTTCTATTGTTTCAGCTAGAAGTAAAGATGACGAGAGTCTAATTTTTACATCAGTTCCAAACATGGCCATGTTTGGTGATCTTTTAATACCATTTTGATAAGCCCATTTTCATCAACTGTAGAAATCATAGACCATTTGTCCATGATTTACAGTTGTTTATTTTCATCCACGGTATTAACATCTTCTGTATATTTTGGTTTGCTCTTTTGGCACTCTYGAAATTGACTGTGACGTGGTCTTTATATAACATAATAAACCAAAACTCTACATCTCCCTGTGACTGCATATCAATCAAATTAACTTGGCGCTTTCTGTTCATTTATAAAAATACCATTGGTGTAATCACTAGTCTTTTGGTCTTAGATTTTTGATTTGATTGACACGACACATACRATTTTAAATAGATAGACACTGATTCTTGTTCATTTGTGTTTAACTAATTTAATTATTTTCTTAGATGATTATATGCAAAGAAAATGAAGAATTKTTGCTGTCTGATGAAGATGAGAAAACAAAAGTTTATAAAAAAAAAGAACCAAATAAAGTTGATAAAAAATATTTGTGGCCACATGGTATAACACCACCGTTAAAAAATGTACGAAAACGAAGATTTCGTAAAACTCTTCGAAAAAAATATGTTGAAGCTCCAGAAATTGAAAAAGAGGTTTTGCTTAATWAATTGTTATTTATAAGTAGTTTTTTTTTTAAATTGCTATRTATACTATTTTATTTTCTTAGGTTAAATATCTGTTAAAAAGTGATAGTGAAGCTCTTAGTGTAAAATGGGAAGTAGTATCCGAATCAGAGGTTCAAAACAATAGAAAAATTAAAGAAGAACCTTTTATGCAAGGTGAAATGCATAATGATCTAAAACAAGACATAGGTATTGTTCATAGTTTTTATATCATTTAATTTACATCCTTACCCTTTGAATACTATATTCTCAGGGTATTCAATTTATTTACTTTATTAGTTAACATCATATTACTGTTTATTTTATTTTTTTTATTAGCTGAAAGAGATATTTTTGGTGAAGCTCTAAGTGATTCAGATGAAGAAGCTGGCAATATAAATATAATGGATATGGATGAAGATATGAGTAATGATGATAGTCGTTTTTCTGATACTAATTCCTTATTGGTAAATTTTAATTAAATTATCATTAATACTGGGGATTGGGAAAGTTGGTTTTGGTATACCTGGTTATTAAGTAAGTCACTGTTGTGTATGTAATATTGAATACAAAGCGCGGTACTGAGTAGTCTCTGGTATATTGATCTAATTTTACCAAAAACATTGTATATATAGTCAAGTCACAATAACTCAAAAAACTTGACAACTCAAATTTTTATTTATTCCTCTAGAAAATTCTTCTCTATTAATCAGGTAGATATATTGAATTTTTAACCCCCTTACAATTCGACTGTATATATTATTGTCGTAAATTATTGCCATCTTTAAAAGCTTATACCACATACTGACATACTGGTGTACTATATTGAATGGTTGAACGAATAGGTTTGTGGTATAATTATTTTAATATTTTCTAAAATATTTAAAAAAATTACAATTGGTTTAGAAAATATCAATATAGGTACTTGATGGCAAAGTTTAAATGCTCTATGGTAAATATTTTTTGAATTACAATTTAAACTTAACAACTAAAAAAATTGGTAGAAGAACTATTGTAACTTTTCATTTCATATCCAAATTGTATAGAAATTTTTTTGAAATTTTTTACTGCTTTAAAAACATTTTATGAGGAACTTTGTATTGATCTTTTTGACAGCATTTAAAATTTTTTATCAGCATATATTGTAAATATAGCAAAAACTAAAACAATTTCAAACGTTTATAAATAACATAAACAGTGACAAAATATTTAAAAAACTACATTGTTTCAGAAACTTTTAATATAAATATTTGGTTAAGAGGACGCTACACCCGCAT